TCCCTTGTGTTTGTCGAATCTCCTTTCAGCATATAATTCCGGCCCCTATGCTGCCGTCTGCTAGAGCTCTACATTGAGCTCCAGTGCACAACGGGACGAACAAGTCCCGTGACCAGATCGGCGAACGTACTTCTGATATAAGTTGGACTGCTGCCCTCAAGAAATAACACCGTTCTCTATCTTCTCTCCCAGATCTTCGAGAACGTGAAGTATTAGAAAAAAGAACAGAAACAAAAACGCCTAATTAGGCCTTGCTATGGTGATACTTATTGAGCACAATACGGAAGTCTTGCTTTGCCGAGGACGTTAAAATATCCTAGTAATGGGCTAGGTAAACCGTCTATCGACATAGTCTGCCGTGAAAGAGCCAGTGCACGGCAGCGCCAGCAAAAAGCTTTGTGAAAATGCCGAGGGCAACCCTGAAGGTTTGTCGGGGAAAGCCACCATATCATTGCGCATAAGAATTATTGCAGGACAGTATCCCCTAAGTTTTTTTCGCAATACTCCTAGTGATTGGTTAATGTAGTAATCAGTTTCCTTAGAATTTCAGAAAGTCGGTTACACGTTTTGAAGCTCCTACCTATCCTTTTATCACAGAGATGGCCGTTCAACGTAAAACAAAGTGTAGTTTTGTCGCGTATGACGCGTATGACACGCACCAGGTAGATGGGGACTAGGAGGATTGTCGATTAGGCCATGATGCCCTAGCTCATGCCCAGTTCTCCTAACGCATCCTTAGTCCGACGACAGTTCGGCCGTCGTCACCGGCCACACCATGTCCACTATGTGCTCCACAGCAGGCTGAGAGTCGGCGCGGTGACTTGCGCGTGGATTAGTTTATAGTGGGAGTAGACTTGCACAGCATATACCGCATTCTCCCCCTCCAGGTGATCCCTGTGTCTAGACATAGTCATTAACACCGGAGGCGGGGGAGGGCGCAGGTGACTAGCACGACCGGATCCGCACTTAGGCGTACCACTTCACAACCCCTGGTCCGACCAGGATT